TGCATGACAACGCCCGCCGCAATGCAGACCTTTCACCAACCGACTATCACCTTTTTAAACATTTCCAGTACTTCCTTGCTAGAGAATACTTCATCAATTAGGACCAGGCAAAAAAGACCTTCGTAGATTTCGTGGATTCTCGACCACCCAGTTTTTTCTTTGATGGGATTTCTCGACTGCTGTCACATTGGCAAAAGTGTGCTGATTCGAATGGTGCCTATTTCGATTAAATCCGATGAGTATTAAAAAAGTTACGATCGTTTAAAGTGAAACACCCAAAACGCTGAGAACTTTCCGGACAACCTAATATCATTACCAACTGTTTAATCGCCTGTCACCTGTCACCATTGCCCATATCACTGAACCTTTATAATTTGGAGTGTGAAAGCTGTACAACCTAGAGGAAAAACGACGGCGGCAACACCTCGTATCCCCTATCAGTCGTTATCCCTTTCACGCATCAGTAATATCCCGTCACATACTCCATAGCATCTGTTGGAACCAAGTTCCTACTGTTACTATTACGAATCAGGCGACGCTTGAATTCTAAATCCCCTTATCAGATCTTGTCAGTTGCTTATACTTCGATGGCATTACCATTACAACGCGGAGAAACGGCTACTAAGCCCAAGATCTCTCGTTCTCGGAATAAACGAGCACGTTCGAAGAACACGTCCAAGGCTGCCAGGTCCTTTTTCAAGGTGTTTCGAATGACTTTCTGTGCTTTTCTGTACCCTGGAGATTCATATAGCAACTATAACTTTGTAACTGAACGTCAATATCCGCAACATGCTGCCGCGAGGTATGTCATTTAGTGTTCAGCATGTAAAGTGCGGTACTTCGGAGAAACGGGGAGAACTGAGCGCAAGTGCTGAACAAAAATTAGCGAGTAAAGCTTACTAATTATTACTCAAATTTCGGTACTTTGGACAGATGCATAAATCCTCTTCAATTTGTCCTCTAAACATGCGATGCCCCTCCAGCTACTCTCTCTATATCACGGTCGAAAGGACAAAAAGGAACCAGGTGATCCGACTACCCTTCAGCTGAAATATCAGGGGGAATACCCTCTTGGCACGCAGAAGGAGGATCGCGCGGCGAAGTCGGGTGATCCAACCACTCCTCAGCTGAAAATGTCAAGGAGAACTGGGTGATCCAACTAGTCCTCGGTCGAAAATGTCAAGGGGAATCAGTTGTCCGACAGACCTCAGTTGAAAATGTAACCCGAACCGAGTGATCCGACCAGTCCTCAGCTGATAATGTCAGGGGGAGTGGGCGTTCCACCTGGTCCTCAGTTGAGAATGTCAGGGACTTGGCCATCCGTCTGGTCCTCAGCTGAAAATGTCAGGGGAACTGGGCGTTCCGACTGGTCCTCAGTTGAAAATGTCAAGGGGAAATCGGGTGGTTCGACTAGTCCTCAATTGAAAATGTCACCGGAACCGGATGATCCGACCAGTCGTCAGCAAAGAATGTCAGTGGGAACTGGGCGTTCCGACCCTCAGTTGAGAATTTTAGTGGGAACTGGGCGTTCCGACCCTCAGCGAAAATGTCAAGAGGAAATGGGGTGGTTCGACCTCAAATAAAAGTGTCACCGGAACCGGATGATCCGACCAGTCGTCAGCTAAGAATGTCAGTGGGAACTGGGCGTTCCGACCCTCAGTGAAATGCCACCGGAACGGAGTGATCCGACCAGTACTCAATTGAAAATATCACGAGAACTGGACGTTCCGACCCTCATTTGTAAATGTCAGGGGGAATCGGGTGATCCGTCCAGTCCTCAGTTAAAAATGTCACCGGAACCGAGTGATCGTCCAGTCCTCAGTTGAATGTGAGGGGGCATGCGATCCAACCAGTCCTCAGCTGAGAATTTCAGGGGGAGCTGGGCGTTGCGACCCTCAGTTGAAAATTTCCAGGGGGAACCGGGTGATCTGAACAGTCCTCAGCTGAGAATGGCAGGGGGAACTGGGCGTTCCGTCCAGTCCACAGTTGAAGATAGCAGGGTGACCGGGTGGTCCGACAAGTCCACAGTAGGAAATGTCAGGGGGATGGGCGTTCCGACTGGTCATCGGTTGAAAATCTCAGGGGAACTGGGCGTCCCGACCCTCAGCTGAAAATGTCAGGGGAGCCATGCGATCCAACCAGTCCTCAGTTGAGAATATCAGAGAGAACCGGGCGTTCCGACTGGCCCTCAGTTGAAAATGTCAGGGAGAATCTGATGATCCGACCAGGCCACAGTTGAGTATGTCAAGGATAACTGGGCGTTCCGTCCAGTCCACAGCTGAAAATGTCAGGGGAACCGAGTGATCCGCAATGGAGAATGTCAGGAGGAACCGAGTCATCTGACCAGCCTTTAATTGAAAATACCAGGGGTTAGGTGGGCGTTTCGTCTGGTCCTCATTTAAAACTGTCATGGGGTATTGGGTGATCTACCGGACCTCAGTTGAAAAGGTCAGGAATACACACTTTGCACGGAGGAGGATCGCACGGCAAAGCTGGGCTATCCGACTGGCGCTAGCTGGTACGCTCAGCTGAAAATGTTTGGTACGTAGTTGTCCTTCATCTGGAATTCTGCCGATCCTACTGAGGATGAGTTCGTGTGGAGAGTTAGCAGATTACAAGCAGCAAGCATTGGTGAAAACTCTCGAGGGGCGTTTCGGCAACTAACCGGCTGAGGTCCTTTAGTGAGGAGGATCCTTCAATGAAGAAAATCCGTGGATTAGATGGCATGCAGTTTAGCCGCTTAGAGCATCTTTCCCCTATTGGTGAAAAATCGGTATTAAACCGATTTGTAGAGGCTTCGAAGAAATCGGTACCAATCCGATTTGTGGAGGCCCCTTCATTACTGAAGGAGAGGTAATTTTCACTTTCACTTTCACTTCACTTCGAGGTTCCTTTCATCCAAGACATCTACTATACTGTGCAGCACCGTAGTCTTTACTGCAGTAGAAAAGAAAACATGAGAAGCGAGAATGAGAACTGAATGGGATTCTAGCTAAAGTAGTTCGCTTCGCTACTACTGTCCTTCTACACAAGAATCCTAATACCCGCTCTCTTCGCCTTGCGAGGACACTACTCCGGTTACTGCGTTCCTCATGGTTTTATGACTCGGATTCGCTCTACTCGAAATCGAAAAGAAATGGAGGTCTACAGACGTCCACAAGAAAGAAGGAAATGAACGTGGAACAGACGAAGAGTAAGGTTGCCTTTCAGTAGAAAAGAACCTGCCGCAGAGCATGCACCAAAACGAATTTATAAAAACTCACCTGCATTAGACCGAATTTCTTGTTCTGTCGTGAAACATATAAATTTAATAATGCGATCATTACGGAACAGTTGCATGAGCAGCTTTCTTATGGAAAGAATGCAACGAACAGCAGCGATTCCATTGGTCGCGACCAACAGCTGCAACACAGGTGTTTCAATGCGTATGATGGGAAACCCAGACGACAGCGGTTAAATGCAAACCTTTCTGATAGGACGACGTTTGGATGTATCTTCCACATAAGTGTTGACAAAATCTTCGACTGTCTTGAAAACCTTGTCACCCTGATCAAGCTTGTCCTGAAAATGGGAAACTGAGCAAGACGTTCTGTGGGGTATCAATTGGTAGTAAATACTTCACGAAAAACTGTGGTCCAAATAAGTGGGCGAAGAATCCTTCCATACATAATCGGCTATGTCCGTGTGTGTATGCGTGTGTATGTGTGTGTGTCTGTCTATCTGTCCGTCTGTCTGTCCGTCTCTGTCTGTCTGTCTGTTTCTCACGAAACTCATAGCACCTAAAGAACGTGAAGGGATTGGGTCATGATGGGGATAGGCAGGACATGGGACAATATGAATAGCACCCCTGACCCATGGTAAGCCCCGCCCACAGTGGGCGGGGCGTGCGCTGAAAGTTAGCGATGTCACTAAAAAAAATCATAACTCAGTTCCAGATCAGTACTGAGATGGGGGAACAGTAACGTAAAGCTAACAAAGCGCCCACAGACCACTTTCCGTGTCAAAAAACCATAATAAAACCATAATAGTCGTGTAAAAGAAACATAATTTGGCTACAAAGCAGCTCGGAGACGGAAAAAACGGAATAAGGTTAATATTGAGTCGACAGAGCAAATGGAGGAGACACACCCGAAATGGCGGGGCGTGCCTTTAAACCCGAGGTACCAGTTTGAAAAAATCGTAGTTTGGTTCTAGAGCACTACAGACGGCGCAAAAAAGTGGATTATGGTCCCCAAGTGATCACATGTTGAGATGTGCGAGGCACTCCCGCTGTGGGCGAAGCGTGCGCCGGGGCGGGTGGAGCCAAATAAAATGGTAAAACGGTTCCAGAACACTCCAGACACCGGGAAAAAGTAGTTTAAGATCAGCGAGGGGTCATCGGTTCACAAGTGTGAGGCACACCCGCTGTGGGCGGAGTGTGCGGCGATGAGGGTGGAGCTAAATCAAAAAATTCGTGAAACGGTTCCAAAGCACTCCAGAGAACAGGAAAAAGTAAGCCAAGGTCGTTGAGGGTAACCTGTCGACAAGTGTGGGCATACCCGTTGTGGGCGGAGCGTGCTAGGTGGGCGTACAAATTTTTCGAGCGGTTCCAGAGCACTCAGGCACTCCAGATTTCCTCTGTGATACGGCCCGGCTTTGCGGGGCGTGGCTCCATCGCGCCTACCTGCATTCGTATGATCAAATGCTCGACTAATACCCGGCTTTTCTCTCATCTGTCCAATTGATCAACGCTCCTTACCACCATTCCATACAAATAGTGTTGAAAATAGCAGGTATGATGCTATTGGTCAAAGAATGTTGACCATCTGTTCAGATAAAAGAAAAGCCGGATACTAGGCGGGTATTGAAATGTGTGGAAGAAAGTAAGCGCGGCGGAGACGCGCCCCCTGGCAAAGCTTTCCGCATCTCAGAAGGAGGCATCAGCTGGCTGGTAATTTAATATCCAGTTTAACGAGCTACTTTCAATGAATGATGACAGCTAACAAATGGAGAAGATAAAGATTTCCACTAGATGAGGAGCAGAGAGCAGGAACAAAAGGGTGTTCACCAAAGACCGAACACCAGTGGCCACGAATGAAAAATCCACTCTCGTATAGGTATACCAGTCGGCTCGCCGGCTTACGCCGGCACCTCCTCCTGTGATAATGTCCGGCTTCGCCGCGCGTACCTTCTTTTACATCTTTGGATACCCAGCAGTTAGCCGAATTCTCTTTCACGTGTACACATGGCCAGCGCTCCTTGAGCTATAACATCATACCTGCTAATTTCAACCTATTACCTCTATGAAAAAGTGGTAAGCAGCGTTGATCAAGTGCGCAGATGAGAGAAAAGCCGGGTATCAGTTGAGCATTCAAACATACGAAAGCAGGTAGGCGCGACGAAGCTAAGCAAACCGGGCGAAGCTTGACCGTATTAGAGAGGGAATTGCACCAGCGTCAGCCAGCGAACCGAGTGGTATAAAGCGACAATAGGTGTTCAAGAGTATGCGGTTTATGCATCGAAACGCAGTGAAAATAGGGTACCTCGTGCTTGAGAACACGCTCCATCCACTGTGTGCGGGTCTCAACACACCACAGACATACTCAACCCTCGCTGAATTTTTCTCTTCTCCAACGCTTTTTTTTCCAATCTCCAAAATCATTCAGATATGAATCATGGAATTTCGCAGCAAGCAGCGCCCATCTCGAGAGCACGCCCTTTTTTGGGATGTTTCCCCCTTCCGTTCACTCCCCTTGTGGACCTCACTGCACTCGATCTCATTCCTTTCACATTCAATCTTCACAAAACGGATATACTTATATCTATGCATTTATACACCAGCACACTAAGCCCCGCCCCTCTGACCACGCCCACTTTCGTTTTTCGCGGAATTTTGATTTTTCTTCCGAATTTTCACTTTTTTAGGCTGTGACAAGCGGCCCCGCCCACTAATGGAAGCTCCGCCCACTTTGTAGAAGCCCCGCCCACTTTTGAAAAATGATGCAGATCAGCGGGCTAGAGTCCGTGGATTATGGCCTCTCCCGTCACATAGAATATAAAAAAGGGGAACTTTGTTGGTATTGACCGAGGAGGCCATAGCCTGCCAGTACACACCCTATCTCGCTGATCTGCATCATTCTTCAAAACTGGGCGGGGCTTCTACAAGGGGAGAACGGAGGTTTTATCAGTGGGCGGAACTAATTGTTACAGCGTAAAAAAAGTGAAAATTCGGAAGAAAAATCAATCATTAATAAAAATTCCGCGAAAAATCCAAAAGAGGGCGTGGTCAGAGGGGCGGGGCTTGGCGTGCCAGTGTGTAAGTGATAGCTATTATAATATCCGTTTTATGAGTATTGAATGTGAAAGGATCAAGATCAAAAAGTTATAAAATTCAGAACTTACGTAACGTCATTGTGAAGTGTCATACATGTGTCGGTACCAAAACTATTCAGTTGAAGTACGTGTGTCAAATAGCAAAAGTGAGAAAAATTCTGAAGCAGAATTCAAAAAACATTTTGGAAAACCATGACCGCGCTAAAAGTGGGCGGTAGATGTTGGGGCGGGGCTTGCAGCAGTACCTAGTGTGGTCTAGTTCTCAACTGCCCATAAGGGGTGTGTCCGATTTGATTTGAAAAGTGTCCGATTTGGTTTGAAAAGTGTCTGACTTAAAGTGAAAATAGAATGTCCTACTATACACATATAACCCGCTATGTCCGTGTGTGTGCGTCTGTTTGTCACGAAATTCATAGCGCCGGTCCCAGTAGCAGTGAGACATTGGTTCCAAGAAGTGATGTAGGGGTGTGACGGGGACACTATTGGTGGGTGACAGGAAGTGATATCAGTTGATAAGATCCGATAAGAGGCGTTAGAAGGGGGAGGTCACCATATTCATAACGCGGGTGACAGCATCAGCTAGCTCTTGATTCCAAGATATGATAAAGGGTATGGGCCAAGAACATTATTGGTGGGTGACAAGAACTGTAAGCTGCTGATAAGATTCGATAAGGGGCGTTAGAAAGGTGAGGTCATCGTATTCACAGCGCAGGTCACAGCATCAGCGAGGCGTACGTCTCAGCAAGTGATATAGAGGGTGAGATGGGGACATGAATCGTGGGTGACTGGAAGCGATAACTACTGATAGGGGCTGATAAGGGAAGTTGCAGTCGTCGTCGCTGTTCAAGGTGGTTCACGCTACCAAATCATAGAGATTTAGTGATGAGGACTGCAACTTTCCCTTAT